GTTTTACTTGGGGGGGGGGGGGGGGTGAGGTTTATAGATTTACCCAAATTAACGTCTCTACTTGATTTCAGTTGCAAAAAAATTTTCCGGATATAACAACAATTTTCCAAACATACCCTCATTTTCGCAAACATACAAAAAAATTTTCGGACATATCATAATTTTTTCGAAAATATCATAATTTTTCCACAGATATAGTTATTTTAAAAAATCTACTGAAAATCTACCTGAAATTGCTCATGAGCAATTATTAGGGGGGGGGGGGTGCAACACCCACCCACCCTCCCGGTTGCTATGGCCCTGGTTGTTTGACCTGAATAATGTTAAATAATGAGGTGAACATCAACAAATATGTTTACTTTTATAGTGACATCACTAAGTACTTGCCTGACTGCCAGAAAGTTTGGAAATTGCACGCCAGAGATTTCAAAAATTTAATAGTAATATTATATAGAATGCATCAAAATTGCACGCTGGAGATATCTGCCGCACAATACAAACTTTCCACACTGGACTACTTGTTAATAAATAATCAATTCTAAAGCGGCAAAAATATATGATACACATCTCTTTTCGATTCAATGACAATATATATAATATGGCATATATTAACAATTACTGAATGAGGTTGAGCCCGATATGAATTATGAAGAATTATCAAGCCTGGCCTCAGTTTGTTTTATCAACTGAGGCAGTAGGCTGAGTTCAATAATTATATTTATTTAAAAGGAAAAAGACATCCGCACCTGTGGTTCAATCAAAATGATGATCGGTTCTTTTTTCCATTTGCAGATCGAAAATCTTTCCTTTTTTCTTTCATAAGTATGTTAAGGCACTGTCAACAAATAGATTTCATCACTCTTTGTGGATTTTTTAGTCTTGTTTTAAGATTGCGTTGTTCCAACCCAGATATATATTTTAAACTTCATAAAAGCCCACTTTCCTTGTTTGGAATTGATCTCTTGCAATTTTAGTAAGTACAGTATAAGTGAAATGAGTCTTCGTATTAAAAATATTAAATGTCTGCTAAGCCAGTTTTCGCAGCAAATTCAAAAATCAAAATTTCGTGTGTAAGTCAAATATCGAATTTCCTGTATACAGCTATTTCAATTAAAGTTGTCCCCCGAGCAAAGCGGAAAAGTCGAATAGCAGCGCGAAAGGCTGCTGGGATCGCTAATACATGAATGAATTTATTAGCGATTCCCAGCAGCCTTTCGCGCTCGTATTCGACTTTTCCGCTTTGCTCGGGGGACAACCTTAATTGAAATAGCTGTATATAGATTTCAGAGAATGTACCACACATCGACTTTCATAACGCTTTTGTAAACAATAAGTAAAATTATATGGCATATATGAGATGACAAAAATTTCCTGCAAGATGTAAGAAATTTTCCAGCGAAGACATTTGTTAAAAATTTCCTGGCAGCAGTGCTGCTAGACATTTTCCAGCACTGTACCTTACTGTTTTGGTCATGTGTCCACACTTTGTATTCTTATTTCCACATCATGATGTCATAATGTTGATATGATTTTCCCATATTGATGCATGTCATGACGTCACTTTTATTTAAATAATAATTTTCAAATATTATATTGCAAATTTTTCTGTATTTATCTCAGGACTTCCAGAATCTGTTGTTGCTGCTGCTCTTGCAAGAATTGGGTATAAAGTACTGCATTTGGATAGGTGTGTAGAAAATTTATGTCTTGTATCTTCTCTGTTGTCAAAATTTCTAAAAATTTAATATTCACAATGAAAAGAATTATAGAATAGTCACCTTGTACAGATTAAAACACCCATGCAGTTTGAGTAATGCGCCTGCCGTATCTACATTGGATTCCCAGGTCCGATCTGTTAATGCCGGTAGTAATGGCCATACTGCATGGACTTGGACTTGGGATACGTACGTGTAACACATAATACTTCTATTATACTGAAGCCTTACAAAATACTGTATTTAAATCAGATACTGTATTTAAATCAGGTGCACAGTCAGGTATAAATCGAATATGTACAGCAGTAGATTATAACTTAAGGTTTTTGACACTGGGCTCTATATAAAACGTTGTATTGTTCATTTCATTATTCTCAATTACTGTTTAAATAGGAACGACTACTATTCCAGCTACTGGGCATCATTCTCTTTTGAAGGTTTACAGGAGTGGATTAAACAAAACAGCAAAGAGGTGATTTCTGCTCTGGCATCTTATTAATAGCACGCTCGATGACGTTGTGACCTTAACTTGCGATGAACATTAGCTTGCAGGAAAAAGTGCACTCTAAACTCTCTATATGCAATCATATTCGTATCTGGATTATTTTTTAAGCACTATTTGATTCTAAAAGCCTTATTATTTATTATAAAGCAAAATTAAATCTTGTTTCATTTGCTGTAGCCTGCATGACGCTTGTTTCACTTTGCTAAGGCTATGTGCTACGCGAGGGAATTAAAAATGAAGACGAGACATTTGGTGTAATTGCGTTTTTTTGTTAATGTTTAAATTGGAATAAATTACCACATGCTGCAATCTAGTTTTGTCACTATTAATAGTGCATTCAACTTCATTGACCGAGGAAAATATCCTGGATCGCAATTCGATAATGGCTTACTCACAGACCTTTTTATTCATTATTAACTTATTTAAATCTCTATATCGCGATTTTGTTTTTTAATTAACCAGGGAACTGACAATGATGAAAAATTTGAAGAGAAACACGGAGAAGTTTATTTCCCCTGTCGTAGAAATGCAATCAGTAACACTGAAGTGCGATCATACTTAAGGTATAAATAATAATAAATCTACTAACGCTGTCAAACGAAACTCCTCTAGCGAAGAGCTTACATTCTCTAACTTTACACGTAATCTACAATGCTGGACGTCGAACTTCACTTTTCCATTTGGTCCATCGACGAAGCACCCTTTCCATATACAGTATATACTACAGTCGAACCCCTATTAAGCGGACACCTTCGGGACCTCGCCTAAGTGTTCGCTTAAAAGGGGTGTCCGCTTAAAAGGGGTATGTAGAAAAACACAGCAGAAGGCAAAGGTGTGTAATTCGGTGTGTAATTTGAGCATCAAAACAGTAAAAAATATCCAGCAAATAATTAGCATAAAATGAAAATTTCTTTGTGCATAAAAGTTCATTAGAAAATGTATATGTCTCTCACAGTCATATAAAAAGGAATAGATATAAGTTTGCTTTCGAGGCTCACACAGACGATAGCCCATTATAATGTCATTTACACAAAAATGGCGTTGGAAAGTTCTTCCAAACCTGATCGAAATTGTGCGAATTCTGCCAGCCGCTCGACAACTTTAAGGGCTTCGGAGAAAGATTTAATGACTGGTTCGTTAAGAGACCAGTCAAATTCATCA